CTGCAGTAGAGTCGGATCTTGATGGTGTCGCGTGCTACCCTCTGCCCTCAACCCCCCCCCCCCCCCCCCTAAAAAAAAAAAACATTCGGAAAGTCGAAAACAGTCTAGGAGTCTCGGCAGACGATACTTATTTGGGGATAAGCTACTGCGGCAAATACATCCCTCGTCGAGGGCTCGTTCTGGAGATTCAGCTCAAATTCCCTTCGCGCTCCCTGGACTTTCTGAGATCCTCATGGATCGAATTTACTCATTACGGGGCCGAGTTCTCATCCACTTTCAATACCTATAAGAAACGACAAAACAAGTGGCGTGGGATGCACCACCTGCACTTTGGAAAAAGAACTTTTCACCTTCATGCTCGAATGCAAATGACCTCAATGAAGACTGTACCCCGCTCTTCGTGTCATCGTACAGCCGCGTTCCAAGGCACCGACGCGTTTTTGCAATAGTACGACCGATAAAGAAATGAGTCGTGCGATGACGATGACGTTTTCCTGTCTGTTCTAGGGGCCTTGATCGCATCGGGTGCAGAAGTTAGTGCAATCGGAGGTCGGAGCAAGAGTGGACGCTCCGAGAGCAACTATCCACTCTCACGTGACAGGTTCGAATCCCCTCGTGACCATCTACTTTCTACGGCACGATATGATGGATGGGCGAATTAGCAGAAAAATATGCACTTCTTTGCCATCTTCAAAGCTCATATTTTGATAACTCGTTCTTTGCACAGTATGACAACTTTCAATCGTGTCAGTTATTTGTAGTTTTACATTCCCCTCGATGCGACCTATCCCGTACCGCCAACTGGAGGGTTACTTAAAAAATAAAATAAGAACTAGAGAACACTTAGCATGTCAGGACTCATGTCAGTCAATACACAAGGATGACATTTTTCAATTGACTAGGATACACTTTGCCTAAATTTTCATTACAGTCTGAAAAAATTTTTTTCTCCAAATGTGACGTGTCAGAAGTTTGCTTAGCCCCGTGCCCTGCCCCGCGAGTCTTTGCACTCCCTGAGCGACACCTTCCAGTGGAAGATTAATTTTTAAATGTGAACTATTTGCAACTGCAAGCACACAGTCGCGGGATGAGTGTGTTGCGACAGCAAAACTTCCTTCGCGGCGTGGATGATGGAGAAGTGGCCTTCCTTTTTGAGTTTTTGTGCTTTGGCCCACTTTAGAGAAACTGGAATGGGTTTGACTGAGTTATTCACGGACAAATGTGTGTGTGTGTGTGTGGGAACAGGACGGTGTCCGAGGCAAGGTCGTACGATGAGACAACCGTGAGGAATATGACTCGCCATCCCGAGAGCTGTTATTCCTCAAGGCCTCAATCAAGGCAGCTCTTCTCTGAGGTATGTCTTCCTCCATTGTCATCGGCATTCATCAATCAATCAATAAGTCCATGAATTCATGAATTTCTCGTCTACGCCAGGACGGTCGGACGATGGCCGAGAGAGAAGACGGCTCCAGCATGTGGGTTCCACAGGCTCGATTGTACAAGCTCGCTCCCGTAAGATATGAACTTATTACAGTCTACAAAATAACTTTTACTTTTTGTCAATCAAGGAAATAGTATGCGAGTGGCATGACGAATCGGTTCTGTCCGTATTGTAGGATAGCGACATGGGGTCTGAGACGAGTTCGGCCCTTCGACATCCCAGCAAATCCAGTTCACCTTGACTCTCCAAGTCCCTCAACGACATGCATTTCCATGGTGCTCCCCCCCAAAAAAAAATTACACAAGAAACTCATGCTCCCTGTGTCCCTCCATGCTCAATGAGTTCCATGAAGAGCCTGTGCCAGTATCAAGAGGACCATTGAAGTCACATTGATGTGATGAGACACAGAAGCTGATTCTGTCACGGGTTCATGTGATCCTCCTTGTCGTGTTGTTACCGTCCCCGGTCCTCCTCACACCTGTGGCAAGAGAGAAAGAGAGGGGGAAAAAAAGACAAGAAAACATAGCATATTAGAATCAAAGTGTCTCTAGGTCGTCGGTTTGGCAGGGCCAAATTCGAAAAGACAGAGAGAGGAAGACAAGATGTTGATTGTTGCTCCTCGTGTGTTACATGCTCAAATTTTCTCCCCCAGTCGGTTAAGTTTTTCCATTTTTTAAAATTCCCTATGAGATTTTAATGTGAGAAGAGAGAGGAATGCAATTACTTGAAGTTACTAGGTGGTGCCAAAAGAATTATAGGAAAAAATTATATACATCAGCATAATGACAATTTTTCCTCCCCTCTTCGATGTAGCATGAATGACTGAATATTTCTTTATTTTGCTTGAGAGTTGAAGATTCCAAAATGAGAGTGAGGAAAATTTATTTCTTCACCTCAGAGTGCAGGAATGCCATGAATATCTTCCCTGTCTGCTTGTGGTGAATATTTTTTTCTAATAAAGAACATGTTGAAATCAGTGTATTGTAATGACCATGACTCTCAAGCTAGCATCATTGATTGCATATATTATTCATCATCAAGTGTATAAAAATGTTTTTCGGTCATTCCTTCAATCAATACAAGAAGGATACAGATGATGATCAATGCCTGGCATGAGCAAGCCTTCTTTCCATCTTGCGTTGTTTCTTCTCTTCATTTTGGTTTTCTGGAGCTGGCTGGAAGATCCAAGGTGCAAGTAAGTTCTTCCAAAGCAGGTAAAATCCTCTGGCTGGGCCCTGAATAGCAGATATAGGGAAATAAAAATTATATGGAAATTGGTAAAATTGTACTCAACTTTCAACAAACCAAAATAGGTTTCTAGTCAAGAACCCCAACAGAAAGGATGCAAGCTGGCAAGTGTAAAGTACAATAATTTTAAATATAGTCCACATGCTTGATACAATCTTCAAATTTTCATTTAGGCTTATGTATTTATTCATTCTGAAGAGTTATGAACAAGGACCCTCTAAGTCTTTCCAGACATTTTTGTTTTTTCTTTTTGGGTTGAAATGAGGAATATAAAATGAGAGCTCATAGACAGGCATTTTTGCATCAGCAAGTAGTCCCATTTTCAACTGCACTACCATATTTTCCTTAACACATACACTACAGTGTGTTGAGTATACTCAACATCCAGTGTGAATCCATGTTACCTTCAGTAGCAACAGCCTTACAGGTACATACAGGGTGAGTCAAAAGTCTGGTCTCATAGGGAACATGTATTTACAAGAGGTGTTCAAATTGCATGCCCTGAAAGCAGGAACAGATGTCCATACAATGGAGGAAGCTTCCCTCGCTTGCTGGAGGGTGTCAAGTATGATTGCTACACATTCATTACATACATTGCATAAAAATTGTGCATTAAACAAAATGTAGTCAGCCCCCATGAGACCAGACTTTTAACTCACCCTGTATGTCAGGCATATCAGTTAGCAGTCTCTTCAATTTCATCATCCCATGAGTGGAAAGTCCCAGTGACAATTTACTTGCCTTAAGCTTATGTTGCTGCAGACAATGTCTCATGTAATTTGTGATCGATCTTTGATTGGGAAGCCTGAATAAATTTCTCTCATCCATTTTAATAAAGGATGTAATCCTAGTTGCTCTCTGTAATGTACCATCAACTGTTTTTATACCCACTTGCATGGATGGATGTCTAGCTGGAGAACAGTATTCTAATATTGATCTGACCCCTCTATATAGGCCTATTTCTATCCTCATGGATCCAGAAATTGGAGAATAAGGAACATGAGAAAGCACAAAGAATGGACTGGAAAGTGACTCACCAGGAGCCACAATAGCCAGACATAGAGGGATGCCAAAGACAAGACTTGGCAGGCTGATGTCAAGATCACCAGGTCCTTCACATGCCTAAATTAGGATGCAAAAGAAAGCAAATCTTTATATTTGAGCCTCATTTTTGAGTCCCAAGTCCCTGAAACCAAAAAGTAAAACACCCACTCAGCAATCCCTGCTTCGAGGTTGAGGTCAACCCCACCATCAACGAGGGCCCCACTCTGGCCATATGTTGGCTTTGCCATGTAAGACATGAACTGGTAGCTACCAATGAACACTGCTGCTGCCAGTATGAACAACACCTGGAAAGAAGCAACAAGGGGCTTCCATTGTCATACAGGCAACTCAAAAGCAATGAAAAGCAAATTAAATTTAAAATTGGGACAAGCCATACTTAAAAAAAGGTAAAAATGCTTTACAGAGGCAATGGTGAAGTGGAATTCACTCATTTTCAACAGCAATATTGGTCTATTGGTGTGAAATTTCTCCTGCTATCCTCCCTAACTCAAATGATAACTTTAAAGTCTTGGGTACAAAAAGGAGAATAGTACTGAAAATATTAGCTTCTAAGGATAGTGGATACCATTATAAGCAAGACAAGTATGTCATTAGCAATTATCGGGTATTCTTGATGTGACTTGAAGTCAACTGCCTTCTTGATTGCAGCAAAGGAAGCATCTTTTCTCAAATAAACCATGATGGCACCATCTGTCTCTTCTCCAATTGTAGGCTGATGAGAGTTATGCCAAGATTATTGGAACCTTTCCTTTCAGACCACAAGATGGACTTCCTCTGTTTTGTGAGATGAGGTTTCCACTTATAGATCTCACTTATACAAGAGGCTCCCACTCTTAGAATCTGTTGAATCAATCCCCCTCTGGCTGAGGTACATGTAAAGCTTGCAGAAATGTGTTATCATCTTCAACTAAATAACTTTCAACTACTTCCTGCTACCAGGAATCTAGCAATCTATGTATATGCAAACAAAGTTGAGAATAGATTTGAAGGCACATGAGAAATTAAATAAATCTGGTAACTTTTGGAACTACCTCTCATATTTTTAGGAGGCAGAACCAATTCTTACATAATGAAGCTCTATGTCGCAAACTTTAGACAGAGGTACGATGGAAATAATTTCTAATTTAATAGAGACACGAGTATGTCTGAAAATGAATTGATAGTCAACATGGAATGACCCTGGGGAGCTGGGATTGAACTTCCAGTTTTCAAGATACTGACTTGAAGAACTGAATAGTACCAGCTTTCTTACTTTGCATTGGAGGCTCGAAGAGTTTATGACATTGATACATGATTGTATCACATGACAATTAAACACTTAAAAATAAAAGAAAGCCTTACTTAAGCATTTCAAAATCTATTAATACAGCATTCCCTCATTGTCAATGCCCCTTTTCCTTTGCTTCTTAGCTGCTGTGATCTTACTAAAAAAGCAGAGGGTATCTGCAACTGAGATGCAAGGTAGACACAATGAAGTAACAAGCATGAGAACTACCATATTTGAGGCAGGGTCAAAGCAAGGAATGATTGGCTGCAGCCAGACAGAGGGGATAAGATACTTGCCTGTTTCATTGCAACATTACTATACTCATGCTATAGCTTACATTTCTATTTGCATTGGCATTGAAGTTTTTTTTAAAGAGAACACTTGTTTTTAGGAATTAAGTATGAAGGCTTTTTGAGACACTTAATACATGACTTCTCAAACCATTCCTTTAACTGCCTTTTTTTAAAAAGAGAAGTGGGGGAGCAAATTCCAGATGCCAACAAAATGCTTGTTTCCCATGTTTCCAATAAATGTCATCTCTAGGCCTACATTGAGTGCAATCAGCAGATATACCTGATTGGTTTGGCCTATAAGAGTATGATAACCTATGCCTAATTGGACCAGAAATAGTTGTGAATCCAGCTTAAAATCCTAGCTGAAAACAGCTATACATTCCTGCTGGACTCCAGCTGGGTAACAGCTAGAAAGTAAAGTCAGATCCAGATTGCTTTCTACTTGTAATACCACTGGTGGAATGAGAATGCTCTTGTTGGTTATTCTTCCTGGACTCTACATCTACAGAAGCAATTGAATTTCAGTTGTAAACTCAGATGTATTTTAGCTGGAAGGACCTCTGTATAAAATTCTAACTGGAAATTCCTAGCTAGACACAGTTATTAAAACCAGCTGCATTCCTGTTAGAAAATTCCAGCTTTAAAACAATCTGCATATACAATTTTCCAGCTCTGTGCCAGCTGTAAGTGGTCTGAAATTACAGCTTTGGTCCAGCTGGAAAATTCCAGTTGAGATTTAAAACTGAGAACGAGAAGCAAATGTGAGGGCTCACCAACTCGCCAGTAGGGAAGGTACTCCTAAGAAGGCAATTAGTGAAGAGGTAGATGCTGTTTGAACCAATAATCATGTTTCGGTAGAACTTCAATGTCTCTGCATTCTCTTGAAGGATCTGTTTCTGCCCCTTGGTGGCTTGCTTCCCCTTTGGCTAAAAGGCAAAAAATTAGGGAAAGAATGAAGTTTGAGAATATTTAACCTACATAGAAATATAAGTTAAATATTATACTGTAGGACATTAAACTGGACATAATTTGGGAATAGTTCTCAGTAGGTATCCACAAATTCTTTATGTATGATGTGTGGAGTCAACTTCATAAATCAGTTTCACTGTAGTCAAATTTATTTAAATGTACTTATTTCACGTTAGGCCCTAGCCAAAAGGTTTAGCCCAACCTACAGCCAAAAATCTTCAATGAAGATACCCAGTTAGATTGGTGGGCTTCAAATAGGAGGAGGACATTATTTCCAGCATTCATTCCATGTAAAACTGGCATTCATCCTAAGATCTTAAAGTGGTTTTGGCTCTTTATTGGAAGGAGGGCTCTGTTTATAGTTTTTATCTGTTGTAAAGAAGTCATCTTTCACCTGGAATGCTCTAACCAAGACTATTTCAGTTAGTCTTTATTATGTAAGATTAGTAAACTGCCACTGTTTTCAGAATGCACTTTTAGACCTCTAAAGGTACATGATACTGTGATTGAGTCATCCCTGGTGATACATAGGTAATATGGCAAACAATTGCAGCTATAGCTCATTGATAACATGGTCAAGGCCCAAATTTAATGGTCATACTGTCAAATCTGATCTATCTCTCCTTGAGCTGTTGTGAGACTCAGGATTCCACCCCTTTGGAAAGTTGACAGACTGCTGTCAACCACAGTGACTCTTCCTTATGAGCCCTGTCTCTATCTTTCAAGGTTTCTGGCTCAACAAGTCTCTCCAAGTAAACAATATTGGCTTCTTGAGCTGATGCCTGACATGTGTTGATGTGTACTGTGAGTGTGCCTATGGCTGTGAGTACTCATGCTGATGTTTTTTATTTATCAGCATACACCTGTTTGATATCTATGCAGGGCATAATTTTAAATGGAAAAGCATTCACTTGGGCTATCGAATTGAAGCAAATAGGCTTACGACTACGTCTAAAATGCTTATACAGGAATTACCATGCAATTCTGCATGCATTCAGCATTTTAATCTGACCTGTCAAACATTAGGATAATATCTACCATATAGTAACGTTACTGGATATCCATGGATGAAAATGGCAAGGAGAGAAGCGACTGTATGGCGGTGGTGTTGTGGTAGCCCACCAGACCAGGCTAGGTGACCAGGGTTCGATCCCCAGCCATTCCATGGTGTTCTTTCACCCTCATATGTCTTTCTATTCTTCTCTCTGGATGTAACGGCTACAAGCGTTAATATATCCTTAGATCTTAACACGTGATAATGATAAAAACAGAGCAAACTCACTGGCATGCTGAATGTATTTCTGTAGAGTGTTGGGCCCTGATAGCAAACAGATAGGCTAAATACAGCGCGTAGGGTGAGGATATTTGTTACGTTGGTGTTCACGGGAGCACGTGGAGTATGACCGTGGACGCAGCCATATTGCGAAGCAATGAAAAAACATGTCCACCTCATGGGCTCGGTTCAGCCTTTGGTTCACCTTTGTCGAGAGCATGCCCTTGCATCTCTCTCTTTTATCGCGATCTAATAGTCTCACTTCTTAGTGAGAAGGATATTGCCATGCCAAAAAGTGACAATTTTCCATCATGAAGGCTGGTCCTTCATGTCATGATGAGCTGTGGCAATTGTTGAAAGTGCGTCAAAATGTGTGGCTTTTGGCTACCGGTTTTTTCTTGCTCAAACAGAATAACGTAAATAAACCAGGGTGCGCGATGTGCATACTGCCTTATGGTCATTAGGGAAGTGCTTCTTTATTAAGGTGATCAGACATTCCGATTTAGACAGGACGTCCCACTTTCAGATCACCTGTCCTTGTGTCCCCCGATGAGCAAAGCAGTTCAAATACCAGTTGTAATTCTTGTTCATACAATAATAAAAATAATTGTCAGTGCAACAGGTACATTCAAATTTATTCATAGATGGCAAGGGAAGTATTTATTGGGCATCCCACTTTCATGATAGAAATCTGGTCACCTTATTCTTAATATTATTAGCATAGGCAATTTGAGTAAGCACAGGTAAGCACACGTAACTGGTAAAGAACTAATCAGTATATCAACCTTTTCCCCTAACCTTGCATGAATCCTATAGATTTGTAGATACATGATAAGTAAATGAGGATGAAGAAGAGAACAAAATATGACAAGAAGATAGAATGGGTACACGGAGAAAATGTGTCAGTGTACACATGAATAGCATATGGATCACATTTGGGGAGATACCATGTAAAGGTTGGCTGCCTCTAATGGTAGGAATACCAGGGGATTCATGGGAATGAGTTAAGGAAGTGATTTACTGCTTTCTACAATGTAAGGAGTGATGTGCTGTGCTTTCTTTTTCAGAATTCTGAAGTAGGATGTTTCAGCTTAATCTTGAATTGAATAGGGCAGTGCAGATTGAAAAAGGAAGGTAACTTATTTAATTTTACCCTCAAATATATCAGTTATTGCATAGATTGTTTCATCCTCATTCTTCTGAGGTCCAGATCATCTTTGTTCCTTTCATGATAATCATGGTTGGTATTACAGGAAAAAGGTGACAATCCATCTTGTTAATTGTGCAGCAACTTTCAAGGCAAAGGAGGCCATACATCATCAGAACTCTCATACATTTAAGTAGTTCTCTTCTGAAGGTTAGCCTTCTTTCTTTTTTTTTTTTAACAGTCTATACGGCCCATTTTTGTATTCTCTAGATTCAAAGCTTCATATAATCTGAGATAAAGCCCCATGCAGTTGTCAGGCACAGGATTTTAATATTGCATAATAGGCATTGATTAGATCATGCTTGGACGTATATGGATGATTTTCTTAGCATAGATAATTCATATCTAACCTTGGTATAGATATTAATTATATGAATATGGGGTAGTAGATTGAAGTATGCATGAATTCCTAGCTGTTTGATAGTTTCCAGTTGGCTACTTCCATATGGATGCCCTTTAGATATGCTTGGGCATTCCCAAATAACAAGGTCCTTTTTTTAAGCGCTCAGTTTTTGGCCATTTGTAAAAGGCCAGTTGTTCAGATGAGTGTCACATGGTGATTGGTATTCATGAAGCTCATCAACATTGTTTATTTTGGTGCTTGCATTGCTGTCATTGATGAAAAGTGTGAATGTTGCCACGGCAGTGTCAAAGAGCAAATCATGTATTAAGGGGAACTTCCTGTTTAAGTTTTGAAGGCTTCTTTATTGGGACTCCAGCCTGGCCTGACCCTGACTTCCAGCCAAAAATAGATTTTCTCACTCCTATTGCAGCCTTTTTCATGTTGAACCTGAATGAAAAGGCTTTTTAACTTTAAGGAACTTTCATAGTTGTTTCATAACAGTTCATGAATGTTCATGTCTCAGCCAGATTCTCCCTCTATCCTTGAGCAACTCATAATTATTCCATTGTTTTGGTTGCCTACACAGGTCTGTCCGAAATGAAAACCTTCACAATAATTTTCCACTCTTCAACATAACTATCATAACCCCTGGTCAGTGGCTTTTGGAGGAGCTAAGCAAATACACTGAGGCCTGTGTGGTACTATGCTTGCCATTTTCAAACCTCCTGTTTAAAGTGTTCATTTTGAGTTTGCTTGGCATCTAGTATCAGTTAGATTATGTCCAAGTAGGTCCGTCATTTCACTGATACAACATGGTTTCAAAGACCATATCATGACACTGTATTTTGTGCAGGCTTCTCTTAGGCCCAACTTATGTAACCATAACCTAAAAACAGAGTAGGATAAGTGACTTTGGGACTATCTCAAAGTTAGACTTCATCTTAACTGCATTGATATTACAGGAAGTTGCTGCAAGGAAAAGATGGAATTGAATATCCCCCTGCCAGAGGAAGTGATTCCTCTCCCATCATCACCTTCTAGGAATGGTCTCATGCTGATGGACAACCAGACTTCCCATACCGACAGTGCTTCTCGATCCCCTGAGCTTGATGAGAAGTATTCACCAAGTCATGCTTTGGATTCTGATGGGGAAAGTGATCTGATGGAAGTATCTCCAATTCCTGATGCAGAATCTATCCCATTGCCTCCAGGTCACCCTGATGGACAAAAGAAATCCACAAAAGTGCCTGTTCTTGGAAAATCCCAAGCAAAGAAACGCTTACTTGCTTTCAGTGTTTCTAAAAGTGGGAAACTTGGACGTGGTGCATTTGATGATGATGACTTGCCCAAGGAAGAGAAGGAGATCCTCAAGAAAGAACGGGAGCAAGCTCTTGGCATTGAGAAGAAGTCATTGAAGAAGATGGAAGCTAAGAGTAATATAGAAGCCATAATGGAAGAGGAGTTGAAGGAAAGGGCTGTTAAAGGTGCAGGAAACATGATGGCACCTGTGATACATGAACATAAGATGGCATTCTTGGCCCTAAGGACAAAAGCAGTTGAGATGGCTGTAAGTCAGATGGAAGAGAAAGACAGTCGGGATAAAAGGGAAGATGAGGATAGCAAGGAAGAGAAAGATGACAAGAAAAGAAAGAAGAAAAGGAGGAAGAGTCGAAGTCGTAGTTCCAGTCGTTCGAAGAGTCGAAGTCGGGATCAATCTCATCGTAAGAAACGCAGACGATCACATAGACGTAGTCACAGCCGAAGCCACAGTTCAAGCCAAAGAAGTAGAAGGCATAGTCGAAGTCGGGATCGGCCCAAGAGTCGCAGTCAAAGCCGAGATAGACATCGCAGTCAGAGACGAAAGAGCCGAAGTCATGATCGACCTAAAAAATCCAAGGTTCATCTCTTAGCTCTCAAGAATTGGAAGGATATAAAGGATTCAAAGATGACATTTGAAGACATGTCATTGTTGAAGCGGCGGGAAGAGAGAGAAATCCTCCGTAAACGTGATGCTCCACGAGAAAGGCCATCTCAGTCTGATTCCAGAAAGGTAGCAGAGAAGGAGAAGGAGGAGACAAAGAAAGAAGAGGTATTAGATAAGGTCACACTGTCATTTGATCTCCTGCTTCATCCTTTCCAAGTGATCTCAGAAAATGGCCGGATAAGGAAGGACTTCCCTGCGAACTGCATCAAGAAGACAAAAACCGAACCTTCAATCCCTTATTGTGCAAATCCAACAGTGGTGCCTGGTGGCTATAAAAGCAGAGAGGAAGTTTTCAAATCTTCTCCTGCTGCAGAAGTATCCACCATGGAGGCCACCATCTCCTCACACCTTTCCCCTCGTCTCCAAGAGCCTCCTCGGCAATGGTACCAGCAGGAGTTGGCAAAATTCCTTCACCCAGATGACAATGAGGATATCCCTTTTGGTGAGGGCCTGGATCTCATCCTACCCAAATCTAGATGGGATTCTGACAATGAGGACTCTGAGGCAACTGAGACAAGACAACAGCTCTTGTCTAAAAATATCGACCGTAAGGCAAACTTGAATTTGCCTAAACAAGTTTCAGAAGTTGACGTACTGGTGCAAAAAGAGAGAACAGGCTTTGCTGCAAAAGATCAGGAAGAGCAGGGTATGAGAGTAAGCCCAAGGGAAAAAATGAAAAAGGAAAATGATGAGCCGTTAAGGCGTTCTCAAAGTGTAGAAGAAGGAGAAGTGAGTGAAGAAGAAGGTGGGGAAGATAATGATAAAAAGGGAGGAAAGAAGAAAGGGGAAAAGATGGAGTCTCCGGACATACTTAAAACCAAGTCTAGCCCTCAATTGGCTCATCTTTACCAAGAATCCGATAAAATTGAGTTAGTACAGTCAGAAGAGACAAGTACCATCAGACCAGAGAAGCAGTCATGGATTGCAGAAAATGAGAAAGGAGGATCTAAAGCATTGGTTTCTAAACATAATGTTGGCATGGAAAGGAGTAGGCAGAATGATAGTAGGAATGAACAAGTGGAGGATGAAGGAGATGAGGAAGAATGGATAGAGAGAAAAGTCCCTTCTCCAAAACAGGGGAGTGACAAGGAAGAAGAAAGTGAGGATGAGGCAAAGAAGAGAAAGAGGCAGAACAGTAAAGAGGATCACTCGCATCATCATATGGATGATAAGGATAAGAAGAAGAAAGATTCAAGTAAGGAGGAAGAGAAGGAGGAAGGTGACACAACTACATTAATGAATGAAAGAGCTCAGGACAAGAAATTGAGAAATGAGATCCAGTCATTGGAGAAGAGAAGGAAAGAATCTTCATCTGAGAGTGAGATTTCCAATAGCAGTGAGGAAGAAAATCTGAAAAAGAAGAAGACAAAGAAGAAAAAAAAGCAATTGGAAAAGAAAAAGCAGAAAAAGAAGAAAAAGAAGATGAGCAGAGTGAGTTCATCTGAAGAAGGCTCATCTTCAGATGATGAAACAGAAGAAGAGGAGGAAAGTCAAGTACAGGAGAAGGAAATTAAGAAGAAAATAAGAGGGAAGGAGAGCAATGAAGACAGGGAAAGCCAAGAATCAGAAGATGATGTTGAAGGTCTTATGTTGGAGGAGAGAAAGAGGAAGAAGAGTGAGTCATCTACTGCATCTGCAAAAAGAAAAAAGAAAACTAAAGGCTCTCTTTTGGAGAAGAAAAAAAGAAAAAAGGAAAAGAAAGATAAAAAGAAGCAAAAAAAGCAGAAAAAGAAACTGAAGAAGAGAAAGAAGAAAGTTGAGGAGCAGGAAGGGGGGGACAGCGGTAGTACGATGTCGGAATCTCCAAAGACAGACTCTGAGGATGATGGTGATGCTGTTCATACCAGTAATCATCCACACTCAAAGAGGAAGTCAGGTCAGTCAAACTCTATCTCTGCTCGAAAGTCAACAGGAAACCAGAAGGAGGAGGAAAGGAAGAAGGACAGTGGTGGGTCCTCAGATTCCGAAATGGATCAGGTTGGACACCAAACTGAAATGAGAAATAGAAAATTATCTTGGGATGCAGCCCATGGTATCAAATCCAAGAAGTGGGAGGAAGAAATGAGACATTTCACTGGATCAATAGCACCTCATTCTGACCTCATGCAACATGTTGCACATGCAGAGGCTCCTTTCTGCTCCCCTCATACCAATGATACAGAGTTCTCATTCAAATCTGAAACCATGCAGGAGGTCCATCTTGATGAGAAGAATATAATGGATGGTGAAGAAAGAGAGACAGAATTGTACAGTCCAAGTCGTCTGTCAGATGTGGATGCAACCAGTCTCTCTCCAACTGGCAAAGAAACACCTCAGAAATCTGATTCTTTGTTTGACATCTTTGAGGATTCATCTGAGGACTCATCAAAGGAAAAGGAAAAAGAATACTTGGCCAAAGACAGGAGATTCAAAGCCAGTGATTCCAAGAGGCAAAGCCCAAGTCCAGAAAAAAGGGAACAGGCCTTGAGTGAGACTTCACATCACTCCAACAAGGAAGAAAGTACATCCACTTCTGTTCTGTTGACTCTTGAGGAAGCATCTCGGGATAGCATTGAGGAAGTAGACATGGAATTAGTAGATGAAGATGAAGAGAGCTTCTCACTTCCTGGTCAAGTTGGTAGTGGGATTGATGTTGACAGTATTCCAATGCCAGGAGAAGAGATGTTGACTCCAAAACAATGGCAGAATGACATCCCCCCTCCTCCTGGAGAAAATCCAGAAACAGACGAAGAAGAGGAAAAAGGGGAAGAAGAAAATGAAGTGGAAATCTCAAAGGCATTACTTATTTCATCTACTCATTCACCATCTATTATGAAAAATCCTTCCAGCAGAATCCCAGCAGAAGAGACTGAAACTAGGCTCACTGTGATGTGTGATAAGGAGATCCTGAATTCACCCATCAGACATGATGTTACCCCCTTTTCATCATCCCTCAATATGAAATGGGTCAGTTATCCCAATGAAGCCACCTTTGTCAAAACTCCATCTGATCTTAATACAATTTCAAGCCCATCACCAACAAAACTAAAGATTTCATGGAACAGGCTACAGACTGGGAAGGGATTGCCTTTGAAGCCTCCTGCATCAAAGTTCTTTGATGCTGAACTATCAAAAATACCCATGGATGATATGTCTGATGCTAGTGCTGCCTCTCCAGATCTTAAAGTTTCTCCACCAGATTTTGGTCATGGAGATGTAAGTCATGGACTGAAGATGGTGAATAATCAAGGCAATGAGGGTCACCATCAGAGACAAGTGTCAGAACAACTCAATGAGTCATTAACTTCAATGGTGCATCATGAGTCTATCCTTACTCTGGTTTCATCAAGCCATCCAGAAGGAAGTGAAGTCAGCTCATCAGATTTCAAACGCATGCATGAGGCCTCTCTGAATGTTCACATTGATCATGATGGCACTCCTGTGTTGAAAGAGACCCAAGGAAGACAGAAGGAAAAGCCTAAGTTTGAATCCTCTAATAGGATCTCAAAGTCCAGGTCAAAAAGCCCTTCTAGAGATCAGCATTCCTCACATAAATTGCATAAGAGATCAAAGTCATCAAGGAAGAGATCTAGATCACTCTCCCCAAGGAGGAAATCTAGGTCAAGGTCATCTCCCCAGAGGATATCCCAGTCCAGATCACCCAGGAAGAAGTCAAGGTCAAAATCACCAAGGAAAAAGTCAAGGTCAAGATCCCCTAGGAAGAAATCCAGGTCCAGGTCTCCCAGAAGAAGACCAGCTTCTAAGTCACTCCAGAGGGGATCTCACTCAATATCCCCAAAACGCAAGTCAAGATCACCAAAGCGCGAGAGGAGGCCAAGAAAAAGATCCTGGTCAAGATCCCAGTCTCCAAAAAAGTCATCCAGAGAGGAGCCTCGAAGTCGGCGGAGGTCTCACTCCAGATCCCCATGTCATAAGGGTGATTCTCGAGTCAGAGGCCTGAGGAGATCCAGATCCCGAAGTCCTAGGCAAAAGAGGTCTTGGTCTCCCAGGAGAGAGGGAAAGGCAAGATCCAGGAGGACCAGGTCCCCAAAGGAGTGGGATGAAGAATATAAACACCAAGAAGGTGAGAAACAGGAAGACACCAGGAGAAGAAATGCTGAATCCAAAAAGCCTTTTACCTCTGAGAATGAGGAGATCCAAGATGAGACAGGAAGTCAACTTGCTCATGAGGAAGATCGTCAGCATGGTCAACAATCGTTCGATGACGATGATGGTCATGGCTGGCAGAGTCGTCAAGTTTATGAAAATGACAGGCATAGTCAACGACTATACAAGGAAGATGATCAACATAGTCTCAGGTCAACTGATGAAGAGGGTCATCGAAGTCGACAATCTTATGATGAAAATGGCCATTGCATTCGTCGATCATATGATGAAGATGACTGTCACAGTCATTATTATGAAGAACAACATGGTGAAAGTCGAATGCATAAGCCAGATGAAAACTATGACCGGCTCAAGTCTCACTTAGGAAAAAGAGGAAGTTCATCATCCAGTCCTTTGTGTGACAGGTCAGTAACCTTTCATTATCTCCTTGTGGATGTCTTCTTGTGAGTCTTTTCATGATTTTGCAAATGGCTAAAATTGTCTCATGGCACATTCTACTCTTTCCAGACTTGAGGCCTCTTATGAGGGAAGGGAGGAGATTGGGGTACTGCATGAATCTCACTCCTTCCAAGACAAGAATGATAGTACCATGCATTTACGTATTCCTGCTCTCATGGATATTCATATCCCTGACCCGTACGATCCACATGATGCTGAGATTTCTCATGCATCTGGCTCTGCCACTGGTATGCCTGTGAGAGAGGAGGAAGGTGATGGATGGCATGGGCTGTCTCTAGATGAACGTTTAGAGAAGCAGCTGGGAATAGAGATGAGCCCACCTCCACCTCTGAGACTTGACCCTAAACCACAACCTTCCCCTGCTTGGGCATCCGGAATGGTGCGTAGAGCAGGGAACCTCCTCGAGATAGTACCAATGGAGACTGATGGAATGGGAAATCTCCCTCCACCTCCTTCAATCCTTCCTCCATGTTTTCCTCCACCTCTTCCAGCATTCCTTCATATGCCACCTCCACCAATTGACCTTTCTGTTTTGCCTCCACCTCCTAGAACCTCTACAGCTGAGAACCTCTTGCAGGTCTGTTGCTGCATAATCTAATGCCTCTCAGACCTTTGCTTTGTGACCTTTGATGCACATTGTGTCTCATTATATTTTATTTCATTACCAATGCAGGTATACACCATGGACACAATGCCAGACGAGTGCAGTGGAAATGGTGGAAGTAGTCCACCTCCATTACCACCACCATTGCCTCCTGTTCCCCCTATCACTGTTCCACCTCCACCTGAGGTTCCAGTCCACATTTCATCTTGGTGTTATGGTGCATCCAGGGAAATGAGATGATTGCACTAAGGGATTTTCTAGGGGGGTGATTTAAAATCATTAGTTTAAGAAGATGAGGAAGTATGTTGCTTTTCTGCACATATCCATTCCTATTCCTCTTCTAAGGGATACCATCATTTGGTTCTGATTTACTCCTTTTTGCATTAAAATACAAGAATGACCTGGCAATTGCTAAGCCAGGTAATAGGTGAAGATTGTTTCTCATTTTTGGTCACAGTAGATCAAGATAAGTGTTGACTCATTCCCATTTCCATGGATATGCTGTGGGGCCGCTTAAATAGGTTCATAGTAGGCTGTATACATTGCCAGTGATCACTCTGCTTGGATCTCTGCGCAGGAGACAGGAATAGAAGTGGCAGATGAAGTGGAGAAGGAGTTGCCAATGGGACTCCCATCAGCCACTGATCCCAACTTCATGGCAGCCCTGAAGGCAAGCAGTGGTCAGAAGCATCCCTATGTGTCCATGATCATGGCTCAGCTGAAGGAAGTGGAGAAACAGAGACGTAAGAAGGAGAAGGAGATGCGCAAGGCCCTGAAGAAGAAGCAAAAGGAGGAAAGGAAACAGCGAAAGCTGCTACGACGCATGAAGAAGGCCACTGCTGCCCTGGCTGCTGTACAGCCAGATGCAGTGAGTGATTCCTCTCCTCTTCTTCCACAATGCACTGATACTGATGCAATGGACACTAGATGATTCACTGGGTTATTTCCCTTGAAGGATGAAGAAGATGAGAAGGAGAACGTAAAGGATCCTCTGACTGTGGAAGATTCCTTAGAGCTTCTTCACACTGGTTCGTTTCATGCAGACAGAATGAATTATGACTTCATTTCCTCACCTGGAGTGACATCATCATGAATTTGATCAGATGTGAAGTTTGTGGGGGTGGGTAGTTGTTTGGGTCACCTAAACCAAGGTAGTCCAATTGCCATCAAACAATTATTGCAGTTATTTCTTCCATATTTACCATTTGTTTCTGTTCTAATTTCATCAAAAAATGCAACCCAAAAAGGTATTTATTTCCTTTTTAAAAGTCACAAATGGTCAGGCAAGCACCAGAAAAATGTATTGCCTAGTATTTCAATTTGCAGCAGAAATTTCTCCTTTAAAGTTCAGAAGATGTACCTGCAAGAAGGGAAATGGGGTCCTCAGGGAGAGGAGTAACATGGAATTGGTGTAGGTTAGCAGGAAACAGCAATGTCCTAACTGACTCAGATGTCTGATGCTGCCCTCAATTTTATTCTTAATTTTTTGCATGGAAGCATGTGCTGTTTCACATTTCAAGCAAGGGACAAACTGTAGTGGATTTGCAATCTGACCACCAGGAGTTGTCTTGTGCAAAATGTACTTTTATTTTATTTTCATTTTGCAGACTTTTACACTGAATGTTGAACTTGACAATTTGGCAACTGCCATGGGGAGACTACTTCAGTACTTCATCTAATGAGTGTAGATTGCAGTGTGCCAGAGGTATCTCATGGCATGTAAACCACATGAAGGCTGTCATTTTCAGCTGCAACATAGCAGATTGCAATTGCACTGTGAATATACTTTTATCAATAAAAAATATATATCCTTGTAGGCTTTGTGGGGCTCAAGGATGAATATGTCATTGAGATTGGTTATTTTCTATGGGAAATATGTTGACAGTTGCCTTATCCATCCTTAAATATTGATCGAGCAGGAATAGCCTGTTCGTCCTGGTCCATCATGCTTGCCTTGGGAGTTTTCAAAGATCTCATTAAGCCTTAAGCCAAACTCCATTCATTGCTTTCAAATTTTGACCATATACTGTTTTGATTCAATATGGGTTTGGTATGTGTATGCACTAGGAGTGATAGACAAGAAGGGAAAGAAGAAGAAGAAAAGGAAGAAGGTGAGGGTGGTGCTCAAAACTGCAAAGGGAGAGGGAAGCGAAGGAGAAAAAAAAGAGGAACAAGAAGGAAGAGGAGGAGCTGCAGGAAGAAAGGGAGAAGATGTACCAGTGAAACCAGGAGAAGCTGTGGAGGCAGAGGAGAAGATGCCAAGGGAAAGTGTTGCCCTTCCTGCTCCCCCAGAGAGGGGAATCTTGCTCTGGGATGGATATCGACCTCCGTCAGTTCATCCGTGGAGTAGACCTAATATGTTGCATGCAGCTGGGTTGTACCTCCTCTCTGTTGTGACACAATTCCAATGTTTCATTTTATAGGGTGGAGAGCAGTCAGGGAGAAGGAGGAGAGGAGTCTAGGTTAAAGAATGTGCGCTTCGCAGATGGAGTTCTTCCCGGGGAGGGGTCGTCTCCCGAGCCAGAAGAACGGGTCACCTCACCTCCCCTGCGGACTGAAGAAGACCTCCTCAGGCGTGAGGAGGAGGAAGAACTTACTGCTTCTGGCAAAAAGAAGCACAAGCAAAGAAAACTTTCCAAGGTAGGCTTATGCTGTAGAGTTCATAAAATAAGATGGATGAAGTCCCCAAGAAAATGTTGGAAAATGCATCTATGGGATATGATGTTCAGGAGGAGCTGGAAGCATTGCCACCTCCACCACCACCTTCATCTCCCCCGCCTTCGTATCTACAGAGTCTGGTATATCTTTACCAGGCCTATATGAGCCAGGTTTCTCAACCAGCTTCACATTTTCCCCCTGGTGAGTTGTTGGCTCATCCACATCTTCTACAGGTGCAATGTCTTTCTTTCCCTAAGCAATATAATGGTACTGCATTATCAATTAATCTCTCAATTAGAAATGAATCCCACCCGTCTCCTCATTCTTTTATCTTTCTCCTTTTCAATTTCACCAATGAGGAAAGATAGGTTTTCAGTATATTTTTCATGTGGAAACTTCAATACTGATACATATGCTTTGTTCAAGATGCAGTGCATTACTTCACTCTTAAAAGATGCACATATTTCCCATCCTCTCTTCATGTTACCTTCTCTGCAGGTGAAGGGAATGGTGAGGAAAATAGAGAAGAAGGAGAAGGGCATTTCCATGGATTCCCAACTCCAAAACCTCCACCTTTGCCCATCTTGAACTCTTCCCTCTGAAGTGATTGCTCCTCTCCCGTTCATTGTGTCGATGCTAGATTTGTCTTTTCTCTCTCACTGTCGTAGCATCTTGCGAAATCGAGAGGGACACTTGTTTTGGGAGAGCGATGATGTTGCTCGTGTTGACTTTCCTCTGGGTCTATCCCCTTTTGTTTGTTTTTTGTCCCACTTTCCTCTCCTGTGCTTCAATTCCCTGTGGATGAAGAAAGGGAGGAAAGTAAAGTACAGGTAATGAAGGTCTCTTCTGAACCCCACCTGGTCTCTCTCTCTCTCTCTCTCTCTCTCTCTCTCATGATATGATTGTAGCTCTGAATAGAAAGTTCTGTCTGAGAAGAGGACAATTCCTCTTGGAATCTGGAATCAGTCGAAAGACCACGAAGACGCCGACGTAGCAGATGGATGCTGACTTCCTATACTGGATGGAATACACATGAATTCTCGTGATCAAAATTGTTTCATGCTGCTATGTATCCTGAAAATGGAAAGTTGGAATGTCTTTGTCAAATTGTGATTTATTGTCATGTGACGGCATACCTGGTGTCAGCAGGAAGACTTGGTAGTTTTGTGGGGGGGTCTCCTTGTGTGCCATCCATGCACCTTCACAAAGACTCCTGAATCATAGTTCTACTTGAAAAACTTGTGACTGTTGACCAGAGAGCTGAAGTTCGTTCATGTTAAAGTCCTAGTTGACTTTTTGCACACACGCATCGGTGCACAAAACTGATGCACCGATGCATCAGTTCCTCAGAGGATGAAAACCGACTGGCTCTATGGGAACTCCATTCTGACTTTGTGCTCTGCTTTGAGAGACCTTTGCTATTAGATTTTGCCGTCCAAGAGAAAATTGTGTGCAACATGATCATCATTCTTTGAAGGCATGGAACTATTCACAGAAATAACAAATGTTTCAAAAAATGCCATGTAGGATTTTTGGAGCAAGTAGGTACATGCCCACTGCTCAAAATAAGTGTTCCATATAAATTTACATCCCTGTATGTTACACTATTTTGGAGAGTGCAATGACATGTAAAGATGCATACAAGTATGCATGTATTTGCAAGGAGTGTCTCACCAATTACAATACACTTTTGAAAATCCCAAGCTAATTATGTTTTTATTTCCTTTCAGGAATTGCATATTTGAAATGCACTACTGCCAAAACTACTGTTTGTACCTCACGTTCAGTAGCATCCAACTGTGTGGTACAAGTTGACCTTGTGAGACAGATTTAAAACTTGTCCTTTTGGATGGTAGCAATGAGCACTAACCTACTCTTGTAGTTGGCGAAGTAAAGAAATAGTGTCCACTACTGGATGATTACTTTTCTCAAAAAGTAATTAACTCTGTAATTGTGATTCTGTGGTTTTTAATTTTCAGTTTAAAAATCTGGAGAAATTATCTGGAAAGGCCAAAAGAGTTAGCTTGAACAAGCCAATTTCATTTCTTACAATGGGATATGTAGACATAGATGGCTGAGGGGAGAGAGGGTACCAGTCAGAAAGGTGTTTTCGATTAATGCGATGCTCATTATCATCCATCTATGCACAATTTATGAAGGCTCGTGACTAATCCTTGAGGAGCATGATTGCTTTCTTCTAAACTCCCCTAGAGCCCCGTTGTTAGTAAATTTTTCGCTTGCATTCAGTTTTAAAGGCCGTACAAATTAGTTTCATGTTATGAAATTAAAACTAAGAGATTCCCTATGCATCAGTTCAGTATCAGAACAGATATACGATCGACATTCGTATCTGAGATATTTAACCCAACATTGCATTATTTGATGATTGCGTGGGGTTTCGTGCGGAAATTCGATATCCCTCGCAACGACATCGCACGTGAAGGAAACCCTACCACTAACGCGCTGTTCCTGCATTACGTGTGATAGAACGACTTAATTCACCACAGTAGGTCGTATATTACTCTTTCGCATGAAATCACATCGATCGATGAAAATGGCCTCCGTTGCTGTCTAAACGTAGCTGTACGCTGCGGCACGAGCTTGTGGATAGACGCAGCAACGTGTCCATTGGGGAAAGGGGCACGACGAACGAACCGTGCAGCTCTCGGCGCCGAGTTCCAGGTTCTGGTCACCTTTTCAGAGGGCCAGCGAATCATTTTCTTTCTTGGCTTTCCATTTCGCTAAACACCGAGAGGAAACCTTGCGAGCGTTCGAATGCGATCCGATTCGGTGGTTCGCGTCGTCGAGCGTCGCAATCGCATCGAACGTGTTTTTGGGATTCCTATACATAGAAAGGTATACATAGGTATATGCTCTTCGTTTCGTGAGATCCGCATTCGGACGCGATGAAAGAATTCTACGACCGAATGAATGGGATTCGGAAGCGAAGGAGGCACGTTCTCCTCGTCGAGGCTCAGGGAGTCTGGGCTGGCCCACGAGAGAGAGCGTGAATCGCTTCGCTCCGACTCCGGCGCGGAGGTCGCGAAGTCGGTCTCTTCCGTCGCATCGCGAGGACGGAGTCGCTGGCGTTCTTCACGCTTTCGCGCGTGGGATCTTTTCGTCGTACGTTCGCGCGAAACGTTCTCTCGCTCGCGTCGTCGCAACCGTCGCGACCCAAAGGAAGAGAGGAGGAAAAATTGAAGCTTTTCGAGCGCTCCGTTCGCACGAGACCGGAGGCCGCGATGAGGGACGGGAGAAAAGCGAATTCGTGAGAGAGACGAGGGGCGAGAGGGGGGGAGGTAGGGACGAACTGTAGATCATGGCCTTCATCCCTCTAATGGCCCATCGTGAATCACCGGTCCTGCTATCTAGATGAAATTTTCATTTATGTTAATGGATCCTCGGAGCACGGCATCTGCCGTGGACTATTGCGGTTTCTGCCTCTCCTTCCGTCGCTTCCTCCTTTCCTTCTGGAGCGAACGGTCTCGGACTCCGAGGCTTCGTTTCTTCCCTTCTTCGATGCCGAAACCGCGGAACCCGGCTTTAGGGCTCGCCGTGCCGTATCCCCCCTTCCGGACGAATGCCTACAGGTGTGGGAAAATATTTCGTGCCCCGTTCCGACCCCGGGAAGTGCATCGGGTGTATCTCGCGAGACGTCCGAAAAAGAGGCCCATTAGAAGAGTGTTGTTTACTCGAAAGACAATGCACGTATTGTCTTCTCTTTTCTTCCCCCCCCCCCCCACGAGGCGATTGGTATTCAAGAGGTGCCGGAGCGGCAGTCGGTGGAGAGAAATCATTCCCTCCCGTGCTCTTTCCGCTCCTCGACCGGCCTCTCTCCCCGGTATGACCGCAAGAGGTGTTTGCATAACGCGCTCGAGAGCCGACCGGCAAATGTTCCTTTCTCCGCGCCTCCAGGAAAGGCTTTTTTGCCTCGTGGTGCCGAAAGAGCGATGAAGAAACGACGTCCTCCGGTAAACCCACGTGCCGTACGTCTCGGTGGAGAGAGGGTCGCCCTCGCGAGAGGAACTTCCGACCCCGCGTGTCGCCGTCCTGCGACGTGACGAGGTCCTTTCGGACGACTGGTTTCGGCGATGGAAAGGTTCCAGTCTATCGGTAGAGGAGTCAGAGCGACGGGACGAAGTAGCCCGACCCCGGACGAAGATCAGGGGTCGTCCTTGTCATCCTTGCATCTCCCAGGTCGGGGGCCTGGTGTCGTCCTCTCTCGACATCCTTGCACATCCCAGGTCGGGGGCCTGGTGTCGTCCTCTCTCGGCATCTCACTCACATCCCTCCGAAATGAGCCTCTCTCCTCCATTCTCCTCCTGCTTTCTGTGATGAGGCCTGCCATATTCCGGCTCTCTCTTCTTTTTATTAATTTATGACCCGTGTCCCATCTGCCGAGGTCCTGCCTTCCGAATGCATCGCCCAGCGACACCATCGAGACGGACGAGAACATTCGTACGAAGGAAAAGCTTTCCCAAGCTCGTCTCTCTGGTTTTTTTTTTTTCATCCGGCCCATCCCTAGCGCTTAGAAGAGACTACCGTCGATGAATCGATGAAAATGAACTGAAAGATACGATCGATGAATCAATTTTTGTCGAGGTTCGAGACGCTCCACGGTACGGGATGGGACGGATCGAACACCGAGGTTCGAGTTTCGTCGTCCGGATTTCTTTCGGGCGGGCACCTCCGTCCTCGATTCGCAGAGGAATTCCTTGCGAGGACTCGTCCCGCGAACTCGCGAACGTTCTGCTCCGTGTGCGGTCTGACCTCCTTCCTCCGTTCGAGAATCGTAAAATGCGGCCGCGTTTCGGAAGCGGAATCGCTTATCGGCCGTGGTACCGTCGGCGCACTTGCCGGATGAGGGGGGGGGGGGGGGGGGGAAGGGGGGGGGGGGGGGGAAGGATGCAGGGGTGATGGATCCCGCATTTCGATGGAGTGCGGCGCTGTCGCGAAGGACCGGAGATTCGTGGTGGCTGCGTCGCATCCGTCTCTTTCCCGGCTCGTTTAAGCGGAATCTCATCGCATTCCCCCCTTTCACCCCTTTCGGGACTTTCCACCGTCCGGTAAGGTCTTCTCGAACGGGATCGCGTGGATCGCCCTTCGCCGAGGAATCTCATCCGTAACGACCGAAGAGTTCGCCTGCGATCCTGTGCAGACGACGGAGGAGTACCGTGACGGAATTTCGCCGAGGGTAAAGAGCCGCAACGATACCGAGACCTACGGGGTGCTCCATTTACTTTTCCGCTTCCGGTCCCCGGCCGTCTTTTATTTCCGGTCCCGTTCGGCTCCCGTGACGAATCGCCCGTTCCCATTCCTTCCCTTTCCCACGGATCCCGGTCCCGTACCGCTCCCGTCCCTTTCCCTTCCCACGGATCCCGGTCCCGTACCGCTCCCGTTCCCGAGGCGTACCGGCGTTCCGCGAAATATATTCATTTCGCGACCGAGACGTGCCTCCTCCGGATCGAATCTCGCGTGACGGTTCGAATCCAACGAGGAAACGGGACTTCCCGCACGTTCCTGAGTCCCCCGCGTTTCGTTCGCGTTCCCCGCCACCCGACCCCGTAAAAATTGGGGATTCCGCTCCCCCCGTCGGGGAAGTCCCTTTCCCCCCGTCGGGGAAGTCCCCTTCCCCTCTCCGGCGAGAAGCAGGAGGAGTCGATGGCGATTCCCCCGAGCCCAACGGGTCCGGCTCGCGCCGCACAGCCACACACCGCCGCATTTTCCCTCGCGGTCTTTCCTTTTCCATTTCCACGGCATTTACGCTGATCGAAGCCGAGCTCCTATTCCTTTCCATCGATCCTCACCGGATCCGACGATGCTATTTGTCGATGCGTCTCGCATCCGACGAGCTCGTCATATTTGGATGAGCGCCATTTTTTCGGATGTGGACTTCACCTCGAGACTCCCCTCCTCTCCTCCTCCCCTCCTCCCCTTCTCCCCTCCTCCCCTCCTCCCCTTCTCTCCTCCTCCCCTCCTCCTTCCCCCGACGTGCACCGGTCCACCGTTGCGAGTCATTCCACGTGAACCAACACGAAAAAACGTATTACCCTAATCCCATCCGATTTTAATGATATTTTGTGAACTCGTAGGGTCCATCGAGAAACTAATCCACACTAAATTTCAGCTTCCTGGATCGAGAGTTCTTTCGAGAACTACGATTTGAATGTTGCACAAAAGTGCCGATTTCCGGTCCGGTGATTCGGTTGGTCTGGTTCGGAGAAGAGATCATTTTTATTCTTCTAAAAAAAAAAATAACACGACATTCACAAATTTTCTCGTTGAATGCGCCAAAATTTCAATTTGGGACCGATCGAAAGATACGAACAATCATGTGGCAGTAAGTGATGAAAAACATGCAGAGAATGCAGTCGAAAGACGTGGATGCATCCACTTAGCGAATTTCACCCGAGGTAGTTAAACCCATCATCGACGATCGTGAAATATTGATAAAATAATGTATATACTGATAAATATAATTAT